CCTTTCCAAAGGCAGAACAACTGAAGCGTGCATCCCTACACACTCCTGTTACCACAGATTATTTTTAAAAGCCAAAGTGTTCCCGTTCCTTCTAGTGCACAGCTTTTCCAGCCTGTATTTATAAATAAATACACGAACACATATACAATCATGCCAGCATTTCCTTCCTGGGCACCTCGACTATCTCCCTGCTGTTCCAGAGATTACAAAGAGAAATAAATATTGCACCAACGCAATCAAATACTACAGCCCAGACAAAAAGGATTGCTGTATTTTCAACTTTTGCTAAACGTTCTTTTAATTGCAGTTCTTGCCTTCCATTCCACGTATATCAAATACTTGAGTGAATTGTGCAAGTGACACATATGCTTCTTCACAAAGAAAATCTAAAAAAATAATGCAAGTATTTTTTACTGGCTACTGGTTTCTCCAGCCAACACACTGCTCATTTTAAAATGTTTGGAGAAGAACTATATATGCCAGGGGTGGTTCAGGCTGGGTATTGGGAAGAGCTTCTCAGAAAGAGCAGTGCTGCAGTGGCACAGCTGCCCAGGGAGGTGATGGGGTCACCATCCCTGGAGGTGTTCCAGGAGATGTGGCACCAAGGATCACAGATAAGGGGGCACAAGGGGCAGGGTTGATGGTTGGACTTGATAAACTTAAGAGGTCTTTCTCAACCTTAACGATTCCATGATTCTGTGCACAAACTTCACCACACCACTATCCAGGCATTTCCCACTTAACTAGCTACATTAAGATTAGCATTTTCCATAGTTACCAAGAGAGCACACCATCAGAAACTCTCCACATATCAAATCTGGTAAGATGCAGTCACACAGCACGTCACAGCCAGATGAAAGCTGGCATCACCTGCGCTGCCCGTGGCCCAGGAGTTGTGTAAGTGCTCAGGCAGCGCTGGCAGGAGCTCATCCTGCCTCTTAGAACACTCACTGCTGCCCAGCAGTAAGGCAGGGTGATCACACCAGGCTGACTGCAGCACAGGGACCTGCAAATGCCATCTTCTGCCTTCTAGCAGCTGAGCAAAGAATAGGTGAAAGCACACTCTGATTGTTTAGTTCTAAACAGTCTTTCTGAGCTTGGCAAAAGCTCTACGCATTGTAGTCATTATTTAGCATTGCATGTAGGGATTTTATAAACTTTCCTGTTAGATTACAATGCAAAGCTTGGCTCAACAGATGTATTTTAATTTCCATAGCAGGACCACCGCAGTAGTGTTTGACAACTGGTAAGCCCTTGCAATCCTTCTATTATTTATTTTTTTTAATTTAGAGGTTGCATACATTTACAGCCTTTCATCCAAGTGCATGCTTGATGCTTCAAAATGAGTGAACTGATGGCACTTGGTCTTTGAGACTCCCTGATTCTTGTATTCCAGTTCCCATTTTTCAGCTCCTAGCTCTTCGACAGAATTGTTTCCCTTTGTCCTAATCTTCACTTCTTCAAAAGGCTTAAAGGGCTTTTCAGCTTTAAAAGGGAAAAAACTCTTCAGTCCGAAGCTGACCTACTGAAAGACTTAACATGCTGAACTGTTTATTTCAACCCAAATGCTGCCTCAATTCTGGAATTGCTCTGTTGTGTAGAAGTAAAGCATCTACAATAAAAAGTAAAGTATCTGCAAACCACAAATTAAGACAAGAGTACACAGAAGTCAGCATTCCTTTAATCTTTTTTATAGCATATTCACTTAATCAAAAGGCTAAAAGATGGTTTGTTGGGAAGATTAATGCTTTGTTTTATAGATAGCACAACTCACGCACAGGCACATGGCAGACTGATACACACTCAATTTCAGAGCATTTATCAATTATACACCAATTACAGCAGTAAATAATAAAATCCTTTTTCTCATTCCACAAAATATATATATATATATATTTTTTTTTTTTAAGTCTTTTTTGGGAAAGGTAATGATCACAGCACAAGCAAATGGGGAGTAAATAATTAAAAGAAAGGTAAATTGAAGAACCTAAAGAAATGCTTTCCAAAAGGATTCTTACAGGCATTCCAATCGTTGTTGTAGCATTTACCTCTTCTTTTCGATCTCAATGAGTCCACACTCTCTTTCAAGCCCTAGCCACTAAGTAATAATATTCTGGGCAATCTTTGCAGTGCACAGTAAATCCTGACATTTGCAACAGAGAGAACAGACAACTACACAAGGCAAAAAAAAGAAGCGGTCAAGTCACGGTGATGGTGCTGCTCTTTGCTACCGACTCCCTGGAGGTTCATACATCCTTGGAAGAGGAGATTTTGATTTAGAGAGGTCATCTGGGGAAACTTGTGACAAAACTCCAGGCTGTGCAGCAAATTATGTTAGAAAAGCAACTCAGAAAACGTTGATCAACGTTGACAAGAAACCACCGCTCAACCAACACAAACTCAATATGCCAAGGCCAGGAACCAAAACCTGGAGGTCATCCAATTCCAAAACTGATCCTTTGTACAAGATCAGATTACTGAAACCAGTGCAGCACTAATAAGGGTCACTCCATAAAAGAAATGGATTCGCTTCTCTGTCTCAAGAAAGGTCATTTCTTGGTTAAAGAAAACCAACAGGACATGAGATTTATGAAGCTGTACAAAAACAGACTTCCTTTTTTGTGACCAAGCGTTTTACATGCATTTGCTAATCCTCAAGTCTCCAGAGAAATGTGCAAATGTGATATTCAGCTTGTAGACACAGAAGAAAGTGAGGCTGACCAGCTGTCACCTGGATTTTCAAATAATTCCTTAATTTTTAATGGAAAATTCGAAGAAGCCAGCTTCTTTTTCTCAAGACCTGAAATGGTTCCAGTGGCAATTGCATCAACACCATTTGCTATGTCCAAAAGTCAGGTCTCACACATCTCAAGTTAGGTATCGTCAAAATGCGCAACAGATAGGGAGAAGACTTCTCTGACCTTTTTTGCAGATGGACAGACACATTATAAAGAATTCTTTAGCCTGCAAGAAGCACTCTGGGCAGACAGGACAAACAGACACAACCGTGGCTCTGTTTTGCTTACTAAGCTCAATATTTACACACCTACCCATCTCTTAAACTTGGTTTCTACCAGAAAGGATGGAAATGGGAAAACATGCATGTTTCCAAAAGTCACAGGCTGTTTTCACAAACTTAGCTCCCAGCCAGAGCACAGCTCTGATGGGATGGGATGGGACAGCACAGATTTCTACCTCTAAAATTTTATCCACAGTTCCTAAACTGACCTTGGCATCTTCATGAGAAATTAAGCTAAGCTGTTAAGGTTTTCAAATGTATCCTGCTCGCTTTGCATGTCTCTACAGAGTTTATTTACAATACTATTTTTATTTGTTTTTGGCTTAAGAAAAGTAAACTTTTTCCTTGATCAGATAGTTCAGATTTCTCTGGGGGAGCTGCACAAAGACAACTTCATGGGTGCCCATCTTAAGGGATCACATTCTGGGTAAGACTGTTCTACATCCTCACTACTCCAATTATGCTTCTGAGATTTGTTGTCACAATGTTTGTAGGCAAATCTTCCACGCACTTAATGGGCCTCCACTTTTCTCTCTTTTATTAATCACCCCATATAAATTTACTGTGCTTGCTGCTTAGATTAGCAATGGGTATTTGTGAAAATGCAAATGAGCCATTCTTCAGCCTGGCACGCCAGTTTCTCACACAGGACTCACCATCTTGTCTGGGAAGCCAACGCCATTGCCATTGCCAAACGATTCCTCCCTTGCCAGGGGGCATGATCTGCATGACGTATTCCCTCCTGACTACACTATGAACATTTTATAACATATCTGTAACATTTGCTCGGTCATCGTGCTTTAAGAGAAGCTCTGAAATAACATTCTTCATACCACTAAGTTGGTTTTTGAGAATCTCGTTTACCTGTCATTTTGTGCGGTTTGAAAGGCTCACATCAACTCAGCTACTTGTCAGCTGAACAAAGCACGTGTTTCTGGAGGAGGCGGATATTAACGCAAACAAAAACACTCCACCCCCACACAGCCATTTTTAAATATCTTCTTAAAGCTCCAATCCCACTGCCTATAGTAAATCTTCTGGCTGCTGTCAATAAAGCATCTATTGCACTTGATAGTTTGCTTTTCCATCTATTGCATCTTGAGGTTTATAAAGTTTAAATTAGCAGGGACCGGGAAAGAATGCTTTTATTGATCACTGGCTTTGTAGCTTTACTATGATATGTTGCATTTAAACAAAGCTCTTTTGTGTGTTTAACTGAATTTCTCTCACTTCTGTCACCCTTAACACCACATCCCCCCTATTTTCCCTCCCAGAAAACAGACCGTGATTGATTGTACAAGCCCAGTAATGGGTTCTGCCTTTTCCTGGACCCCTGTTACTTTGTTTCACACATACATTCTTCACATTTCCTCCCCTTGCAAACAAGCAATAAATTAATTGGTCCCAACCTTAACCCTAACAAACATTACAGGACTTCTCACAGTAGTTTAACAAATTGATGCCAGTTCCTACACAAACTAGTTCCTGCCCTCAGCCACCTCTCCATGTATTGTGATGCATATAGTGTCTCACTGACAAGACCATCCTAGAGCTACACCTCTCCACCATGCTTCTAATCCTCTTCCCACACACATCGAATACAAGTCCACGATGAGAAAATAACCATCCAGGTTTATTTCATTCCAAATTGACAAAACTGTGCCCGGCTCAAATTATTTTGCAGATTTAAATATCTTCAGTCCCATAACAGCATTTGAAAACAAATGAAACAGTTCACAGACCAACTAATTGCTATCACATTGTTTATAGCAGGAGGCAAACGTTCGTTTTTAAAATGCAGCAAGTACTTGGTTATCAAAGCATCTTACCAGTAAAGTCAGCCTTACTTTACAGATGATGGTAAGTACATAGCAGAAGGAATATATATGTAATTTATTTAAACTGAAAGCCCTCTATCAAAGCTTCAGTTTTCGCCTCATTTCATTTACAAAACCTGACCTTCTTCATTCAAAAATCTTACCTGGCATCTCCTTTTGAAAGGTTGGTGTTTACAGGATGAAGAATAACCTTGTTTGCATCCACATCCACCACACATTTTGTATGCAGATCAAGCTCTGTAAAGAAATGAGAAAGTGTCAAGTGCTGCTCTTAAAGCACTAGGATTATACACACCATTACTTCCTCCAGACACCAAATTTATTCATGCAGCCTGACAGCCACCCATCAGCTAGAGAATAGAAACAGGACTATTGCCAAATTCCACTTCTAGAGATATTCTGCCGGGATGGATTTTGTCCAGCTTTAAAGCATGCACTCTTTTCAAAACAAGAAAGAGCGCTTGGGTTTTTCTGAAGGACAATCAGCACATACAAGGCAGTATGAAATTTCTTCTGGGGAAAGATCCATTAGGCATGGTACCACTCTGACAGCTCTTCTCACTGCTGTCTCAATGCCTCCTGCTCTGAGGGAAGGCTGCCCCTGCCATCTGCAGCACGTTTCCCTGGCCACTCTTGTGCTGCTGCAGCACACCATGCCAGCTGTCAGTCCCGGGGCACCTGCTCACTGAAATTCAAGTCCCATCAAAAATAATTTAGGTATGAGCGTGGAGGAAAAGGCTTATCCTTCCCAACAGGCTCCAAGCCAGCTGGAAAGCCCAGCTCTTCCAAATGATGCTAAGCAATGGGATATATCCTATGAGTAAGAAGAATAACTGGAATGGATGAGAATTCTTAGCTCTAGAGGCAGAGGAAATAAAATAAAAGCTTAGATAACACTGACAACCGCCCAAGGCATCCACCCAGTGACAAATGGAATTAGATACAAAAGAACAAACAGCCACTTGCAACCAAAATCACTGCCTATAGACATGAGCACAAGCAATCCACTCCTATCTTCTTACGTTCCAATGCAGAACTTGGAACGTGCAGCCAAATGCTGATGCCTACAACCACGACCCACGAATCACACCCAGTGAATGCCCAATGTTCTCAAGAGCCGTCATGAAGAGAGGCTACGCACAATAACCTCTATATGGAGTTCAACACCCCACCTCAATCACCCAACTATGCACGTCTAATCACATTAATTAGAATCCTGTCCTCCTTCACCTCTGCTCTTTCCTTCTGTGTCACCTCTACGTGCTCATTCACCTCACAGCACCCTATAAACTCAGACTGCAAATCTCTCACGCAAAGACCACAGATCTTAATTTATTGTATGGCACCTCGCTGGCTTCTCACTACTGTTAAATAGCATAGGAAAAGGAAGTTTCTCTTACTGGCTTTTTGTTATTAGAGATGCTACAGGTCTTTCACTATTTGAATGATAACAAAGAAAACCAAAGCTCAAGTTTATCAGTCACATGAAACTCCAGTTCTTTCTGAACTGCTCTGTTATTAAACTCTGCTTTTGTGGAAGGAAGAGACAGACAAGTTTCAGAAGCTGATGTTTATTTTAATGTCTCTCCACACCCTGAAAGTCGATTTACCTATCATTAGTATGTAATACATGCTTCCTTAGTTCAAAGTATATTCCTCATGCATCCCAGATCCAACACGCCACTATCTCGGTCTGGCTGGTTAGTGATTAACACTCTGTATTGCAGTGACCTGCTTTTCCTCAGCCACTCAAGAAGGTTTTTACATGCTACTTCCCTTACGGAAAGCACGAGGCATGCTCATTCTGTATACAAGTCCTATGGCTGCTCTCATGTTTTTTAATCAACCTCTCGAGGGAGAATGCTGATAGTAGGTTTTGTGCCCGAGACTACTGCTAAACTCAGAAGTATTGTAAGCATTCATTTGATCTCTGTGAAATACTTCCAAGAGCACACACAGACAGGATACAGGAGTTCCTTACAGTGCTCAAAATGGATGTGTTCAGCCACTGCAGAAAGTTAGAGCAGCCCAGTGAAAGGTCTGACGAGCATCTCGGGCAGTGCGGTTCTTCCCAGTGGGGAGTGAGGATGCACAATAAGCTGTCCTGGCCAAGGCTGAGGTGGTGCATCACCTCAGGGTGTCCCACGAAATCAACTTCAAGAAACAGCTGCAGTCAACCTCTAAAGCTGGGTTATTTATCAGATACTCTTAGGTAAGGCTATGTATTTCACCTACCCTGGCAGCAGTTTCATGGAACAGCACTGCTTTTAGCTAAGAACAGTTTAAAATCTGCTTTATAGCACATCATACACTTTCTACCAATGCTTTCTTTGTTACAAAGCATGTTCTTTGACTAATTTCTGACTTCTTTAATGACTCCAGGTTTAGAGATGAATCTGACATCAGCCACTATTGCAAATCATAATTTCAACCTCATTAAGTCTTCATTGTTACTAAAGCAGGTTAGAGTCATAGACAGATTATCTTCCTCTTCTCCTATGATCACACAGGTACTCCACCCTTACTTTTACTAGTTTCAGTATCTCCTAGGTAAGCAGAGCACTTTCAGCCCCTGAACAACAAGGAGAAGGAGGATGTGCCAAGGTAAGAAGATAAGCACACACATCCAAAACCCACTGATGAGTTCATCTTGCAGCAAGGACTCGTTTGTCAGGGTTGGGCAGCATTGTTTCTTTCCACTGCAGACACAGATAATGCGGCCTGGAATTTAGAAGTGAAAAGATGACACGGATGGCTGACACACTCAAACTTCAGACATTTATCGCAGATCCTGTAGCTCTGTGTTTTCACTGTTATACCAACAAGACCTAAAATCTCACCCATTAATATTGCTAACATTCCTCTACCTTCAGTCATCACCAGGCAAACACAATCAACAACTCATCTGCTTCATCCAATCAGGAAACCAATCAGCTAATTGCTTTTGGAAAAACTGAAACTAGAACTCATCTCAGGAAACGTGTACTGCAGGAAAAGTCTTTCAGAGCTTCAGCATAAGAGAATTGTGACATCCATAATAAAAGGTATTATCTTCATCACTCTTCATCACAGCAGGACAAGGGGAAATGGTTATAAGTTGAAGGACAGGAGATTTAGGTTGGATGTCAGGGTGAAGTTCTTTACCATGAGAGTGGTGAGGTGCTGGAACAGCTGCCCAGAGAGGCTGTGATGCCCCGTCCATCCCTGGAGGTGTTCAAGGCCAGGTTGGATGGGGCCCTGGGCAGCCTGGGCTGCTATGAAATGGGGAGGTTGGTGGCCCTGCGTGTGGCAGGGGGTTGGAGCTTCATGATCCTTGAGGTCCCTTCCAACCCTGGCCATTCTGTGATTCTGTGATCTCAGAGTCATGGAAGTGTTAAGCAAAGCTGGGCTAAGTGCAAGGCTAATTGTTAAGCCATGGGCATCCAAGCTACTTGCAGAGTCTCCCCAATGACTTTGTATTTCCTTGTCAGAAGGAAGGCTTCCTTCAAACCCCAGCTTTTCTCTACCATTTCTCTTGATTTTTCAACTCCCCACAAAAGTGACAATAAAAATTCAAGCAATGCAGATCTTTAAGTGAAACCCCACATGCATGCAAATCTGAAATGACTACAATAACCCTAAATGCCTTTGATAAGCCTCATAAGCATTGCAAAAAAACCCACCAACAACAAAAACACCACCACACCATCCATGCCCTCTGCAGTTTTTCACTAGCCTAAGAAATTCAACGTGCTTCAGATAAGGAGCAAAAATGAGAAAAGCAGAGAGCAGGAAAAGCACCCTGGAGCAATGTACCACCATAACTAATGGTGGATTCAGCAGGCCAGCAACGTGATGGTGCACTCCCAGCAACAGGTAGGAGTTTCCATTCCTTCTCTAATAGCAGTCACGCCTCTGGTAATCATAAACTCAGCACAGCACATTTTCCACAGCAGTGTCAAGAAACATGAGCAGAGGTAGGCCTGAATAGGCCTGGGGCAGAGACAAAGAACGTATGTGAAACCTGGAGGATGGGGAGAGGAAAAATACTTTGGAAAATGCTCAACATTTTCAACTCTAGGAAATCTCCACTTTCATTTTCAGATCAATTAGGGAACTCTCTTCATAAATGGGCAGCAAATAATAAAACACCAGTTGGAAGTTGAGATTCCCAACTCATTCCTCTAGTAGGGATCTGGAGTCAAACACCCAGAGCACACTGAAACCCTCTGCACTGCCCTGCAGTCATACTGGAGGTTTTTCTGCCACTGTCCCAAGAATTCATCTCACAGCCACGGCCACCAAACAAAACCATCCCAGCTGATTGCCCTTTCCAAAGTCATCAAGTGCCTTTATTTCCATACCACCTTTTCCATCAGATTTCAATTAAGAAGCTCCTGTTTCTGAGGACCGATAGATTTTTCAGCCCTTTTTTGACCCCAGAAACAAAGATGAAGCCTGGTACTATAAGGCAGGTTGAATAAACTTGAAGCAGAACTCTCCTGTCCCATTACCAGATGTGTGGGGCAGCTGCACCTACACTGACACCTGGGTTACCCCACAGACAGCACTGAGGTACAGAAAGGAAAATGTGAAAGCCTTAAAGTGCACGTAGTAAGCTCATAAGTCAAAACTGGCCCCAAATGCAACAGCTCAGTATAATCTCCTGTAGAGACAGAGACAATAGAAATTTTGCTTTTTAAACTGCCAGTAGATTTTCAGGAGCTTAACATTCCCTTGAAGGTTAGAAACGGACGATTGCAGTATGAGTCTTCAAGCTGCACTGAATCAAAAATTGCAGTCAGTTCCTTTTGCCTTTTCCAGTCTGAAAAAGCAAATAGCAAGATCATTTCGAAATGTTTAAATACTAATTCAAAAATATTTAAAAGTTTATTTATCGTACGCTAAGTAAAAGCCAACTAACAAAAACAGAGGCCTTTGTTTTTGTTGTTGTTTTCTCAGCAAGCTGAAAGCTGGCTCAAGCACAACAGGTCCTCACATCTCCCTGCCAGTGTTTGTTGCCTTAAACCGACTGTTCTCTTTGCCCTTTGCTATGCAGAAGCCAACATAAATAAAGGCAAAACTAACTGACCACACAACAGAGAGTGAAAATAACTTAGATCTAAATGACCCTGCTAAGAGCTTAAAAGACATTGTTAGCTGAAAAGCTCTCTTAGGGCAGTCATTATAAACTGTACTGACTTAAAAGTTTGGGACAAAAATGCAGTAATTTGACTCATCCCTAATGCTTACCAACA